GCACACAAGTATAGACTAATTTGCAAAAATTGAAACATTTGATTCATATTTGTTTTGAAAATTGTTTCAAGTATGTGCCACTTGAAAAAGTGATCGCATATGTACATTGCTCAAATTATTCCAATTCAAGCAATTAGCTTTCATCCACAGGTATTCAAGCTAGTATATCAATTAAGCACTTAGCCTCATGGCAAACATGCTAGACAGGGCAACAATCACACGCATGCGATATGCTGAAGCAATAAAATGCTCACCTAGTACTCCGAGGCGAGCCAACAAAAACAAAAGAGTTAGAAAATATGCATGCTCCTAACTAATGCAATATGACTAATGCAACACATGCGATATGCAACTAATACGCTTGGCTACTAATTATGACATGTGAATTAATTTGATAGCATGTGGTTTAAACACCTTTTCAAAGAAGTATTTAAATGACAATGCTTTATTAGAATGATGAACCGAGTCTCGATGCATGCAAGACAAGTGGATGCAAACATGGAGTATGCTAAAAGAAACATGATGTCCTAAACTACCCCTTATAAGCAAGTAAATAAAAGGGAAAAAGACGTGGAGTTGGAAGACATACACATTATTACATATTTGGCCCTCGCACAAGAGGGTCCAACTAAATAACCTAGCTAATTAATTACATAATTAATTAACTATTACGAACCTAAATGAAATAAATTAGCTAAACTACTTAATATAACAACAAAATTTAATTAACTATTCTAGCTAATTAAAATAAGTACAACACATAGCTATTCTAACTAACTAGTTACAAGCTTTTTACTCCAAGCATAAAACTAATATTATTACAACATCTCTTCACAAATCCCAAGGATCGAGGGAGGGCTCATGCATGGATGCGGATTTCCACCCGATAATGCTCTCTATTTTGCTACTGGAATGCCTTTGTTGCACAGTCACAGTTGGAAAAATGCCCTATTTTTTTCACCTCAACTTCTACTCTGCTCTGTTGGAAAAAGGACACTGCCTGCCTTGAAAAAGTGGCCGGTAGCCCAAAAGTAGTTGCCGGCAGGCCACTAATAGTGGGTTGCCGTCCAAAAATAGTGGCCTGTCGGCCACAAATGTTGGTGTTCTCCTACAGTAACAGAGCACAAACCAGAGCATTCTTAGGGGATGTTTGTCCACCCTACCTCTCCTTATCATCAAATAGGTCAAAGAAGGAGTAGGCTTGACTCACAAATCACCAATCGGTGCAATCACATTGCATGATGACTTAGGAACCAAGGGACACAATTCAATAAATGCATAACAAATGACCAACAAAAACCTCCTCTCTATCATGGATTGATCAAGGGAAAAGGTTGACATTGACTCTTGAAACGTTTACATCACTAACGAGTATGAAACAACTCAAGGCTCAATGGATTCAATTAACGTCAAATTGAACCCAAGTAGATTTTATCTTGCACCACTTTTAGTCCCAATTTATTACTTCGTTTTAATTATCATCCATTCCTTAGTTCATTAGGTCCAAAAGTGAAGATTAAGTCCTCTAATGGAAAGGAGTACCAAACCAAGAGTTGTTTTAGGCATAAGAGAGATATCATGCCGTTGGTAATGAACCCCCAAAGGGATTGAACCATTAAGCACAACTATGTTAATCTCAAGCTTAAACAAGCAATTAGTTTGAAACAACTTTCAAAACAAAGAAAAAGCCAAGAAATGAGGGAGGTTATAGAGGTGATTAGATATGAATACAAGTATGGAAAGTAAGAAATAAACACTATCAACTTAAATAGGTTAGTGGCTAAGGCCTAAACCACCAAACCTATGAGGACCATTACACTACAAGCGTGCTATATAAAAACTTAAATGTAATGAACAACTAAAAACAGTCCTAAAATAGTCCAAAAAAGTGCTGGAATGAAGACAAAAATAGCTAAAACAATAAGCTAAAATATGGAGTAAGTTAAGCTAGTAAGCAAGCACAAGGAGGGGAGGCTAACCCCTCCATTTTTGGGATTTCAAAACATGATTTTTGCCTCTGAAAAGCCTCTGAAAATTAGTGGTAAAAGGCTCAAAAAAAGTTGATGAGACGGTGGGAAACACAAGGGCAAAGGCCTTAGAATCAAGGTTCAAAGAAGGGTTGTCAACCCCTCTACCTTTAATGGCCTTAAACCACAAGTTTCAGCCCAAAAAGACAGGGAATAAATAGCTCAAAAACAACAAGAAAAGATGGAAAACAAGTAGTGTAAAGATGGTACAAAAGAACTAGAAGGTATACCTCTTGAAGAGGAATGCTTTTTTGAGTTACAAACCACCAATTTCACACTCTCAAGTGTCTCAAGAGCTCAAATTCAAGCTCCAATCACCTTAGCAAGAAGCTCTCTAGGTTTGGTTTAGAGTGTTTAGGCAAAGGCTATAGAAGTTGCAATAGAGAAAGAGAATTTTTCCAAGATTTTGCTCTCCAAAAATATTTTCTCACTCATAAATTTTTCTATTCTTGAAAGCAAGAGGGGAGGTCCTCCATATATAGAAAACCATGTTTCTATCTCAGAAATATCTGTATAGGAACAGCTGGTGTAGTGTGGGAACAACTGGCAACAAATATTTGCAAAAAAAATTGGCTTTTTTTACACAAGTGGCCGGCAGGCAAAAATCTGCTTCCAGGCTCGATTTCAAATAGGCATATATCCTTCATCTGGACTCGATTTTAGGTCATTCTTGAGTCTAAATTGAAGCCCCAGAAGTCTAATTTCCAATGGTAGTGGACTCACACCTAAATTTTAAGTGTACAAAGAGATATGCCTATTTTAGTGAAGGATGCTCAGTTTTGTCCTAACGGATTGATGCCTAACTTCTTCCCTAACTAGTTTTCTTCCTTCTCCTCCGATTTTCTTCAACTCCAAACTTGCAAATAAGATGTTTTAAAGATTTTTTTTAAAAGAGTTCACCTCTCTTCCATTTTATTTCCACTTTGTCCTTACTCGGTTTACCAAAAAGTGTAATATTTTAAACGAAATGCGAGTCTTAGAACATCGTAAAAACATTTTCAAAAATATTTTGAAAGAGAGGGTTTTAAGGTCTAAAATAGTTTTTGTCCAAAATAGGGTGTAAGGTTGGGGTTTAGAAGCTGTTCTTGCTAAAGAAATCGAACATTTGTACAGCATAACTTTCCTCATCGAGTAATTAACTTGAGGCGCCCAAGTCTTAAGGGCGGTAAAAAATGAGGTGTCTTGAGGTGGCCAAGTCTTAAAGGCGATCAAAAATGGGGTGTCTATAGCATGGCCCCAATAAGCGGATTGCTCTTAATGGGAGTTGTACCTAACACCTAAAAGGAGCACACATCTAAATCCGAAGTTGCACCTGCTAGGCCAAATGGACAATACTTACTGAACAGAGGTTATCCAACAAAAGCAAGCACTATGACACATAGGATTTGGTACAAATGTGATTTGGTACATAGGATTTGACACATAGCCTACCCAATATTTAAAAAAAAATAAACAGTTCAAATTATTAAAATGAATCCTGAAATAGGCATAATAAACTGCAAAATAGCAACCACTCCAAATCTTGATACACAAGGCATATGTAGTCAACATGAATGGCTTTATTTAAGGAGTAGCAGGTTCTTGGAACGACACAAGATGACCCTATTAATGCACTGCAACCGTGAGATTATATGAAGTTCAAAGAAGGTTTATGTAGATCCATGTCGCAAATAATTCATTTATTGGAAGAATGAGCATATCATTGCCTTGAAACTGTGTCTCAAATAGTTTCAAGCAAATCCAATTTTCAAAAAGTGAAGAGATTTCTCTTGTTTTGTTGTATTTACTTTATTTTCCTTTAATTGAAACCTTCCCTTCAGTTTCCTAGCAGTTGGTGGGTACGTATGTTCACTTTACACTGTATTTGAATCATAAATTTAGATAAGAATTTGAAAAAAGAGAGAGAGAGAGAAATAGAAAATAAATAAATAAACAACTTATATTTCACTCACATTTCACTGCTGGAAATAGGGGTTTTAGAGGTGTTTAAAAAACACCGCTATAGGTCTCCAAAACGCCGTCAAATCTTTTTGTGACGTTTACAACCAAACGTCGAAGACGCGGCCGTCACTATAACCTTATGGCGCTTTGGAAATGTCACTATATTACTATAGGCGGTGTTTAGATAAGAATTTGAAAAGAGAGAGAGAGAGAAATAGAAAATAAATAAATAAACAACTTATATTTCACTCACATTTCATTGCTGGAAATAGGGGTTTTAGAGGTGTTTAAAAAACACCGCTATAGGTCTCCAAAACGCCGTCAAATCTTTTTGTGACGTTTACAACCAAACGTCGAAGACGCGGCCGTCACTATAACCTTATGGCGCTTTGGAAATGTCACTATATTACTATAGGCGGTGTTTGCTAGAAATAGCCTTTTTTAGCCTTATGGCGTTTGCTAAAAGTTCTACATAAAGGTAAGATGATGTCACATGATATTTTAGCGACGTTTGAAAAACGCCGTCATAGACAGTTATACATTTTAAAAATCTAGCCATTGGGGTTGGGATATAGTGACGTTTAAAAAATGCCGCCATAGCCTTTTTATTTTTATTCTTAAATTGTGCTAATTTTATATGGTTGAACTAAAAAAATATTGGGGTTGGGATATAGGGACGTTCAAAAAACGCTGCCATAGTCTTTTCTTTCTTTCTTTTTTAAATTGTGCTAAGCTTGACATTTAAATGTAGCAACAGATATTTATACATGTCATTAACGATTATTAAGAACTAATAATTGGTGTATATTAAAATAATAAACAAACTAAGCTTGAAAACAAAATTAAAAAAAAAAAAAAAGAAATAATGCATTGCAAAAATAAGCTTGGAAACAAAATTAAAAATAAGAAACAATGCATTGCATACCCAAGAATAGAAACAATTCATGTTTAGACTTTAAATATATCAATTGAAATCAAAATGGTCAAGAAGAAGTCACTTAAACTTCAAGAGTAGCTCTCATCAGTGTGAGATGAATAACATTTAAAAGAGGTGATTTGCCAAAAAATTTGCACAGAACCCCATAAGTTGTTTTAACAATTACAACCTTCAAGGCTCTCATCTTAGCTGTTTCTTTAAAGTGACTTTTACAAGGAAGGGCTACAAGCCCAAACATTTTTGTGGCATCCAGGGGTTGAACCATATGGAGTAGTTGCCAGTTCTACCCAATAAGAAATATACAACTTTGCAGCAACTTCCAAGTCTTCCATTGAGCACTAATATCAATTGAAGGAACAAGAAATACAGCAAGAAGAAAAAAATAAAAAAATAAACCAACCATTTCAAGCATTAAGAACATTAAGAGAGTGAAAGATGAACAAACTGAGTTTTAATGAAAGTGCTCACTCCAATGAATTTAAAACCTGAAGAAGGAGCCTCTAAACCCTCTCTGAACATTGCAATATTTCGGCATTTGATTCTAGGAACAAGTTCTGAAAAACAATCCTAGGTGTATACCCAAAATAAAAGAAGCCCAAAAAGAAGTATAAGAGGACTCAGCTATGTTCCTTTTGTATCCAGCTTGAAGACGTCGTTCCTGTATGTGAAATTCTAAGGATGAGATAACACATACGTATCTAACTTGCAAGAATGCAGATGAGAACAGAAAAAACAAAATCACACACAAAAATATAAATATTGAAAAGATAAATATCTTAAAAAAACAAACCAGTTGTCACAGCCAACCATGAATAGAAAAATCGGCCATTAAGTAACTATTGGCCATAACAAAATGAATTTTGGGCCTCCTAAGTTGGATTCTCTACTTTATATTGCTGTGAAATAAAATCACAAACAAGTAATAGCTAATATGAATGATTACAAAATTATCGATGAAAAATATACCCATCATTATAACTTCCAAAACGAAATTCTGGGCTTACAATTATAAATCTCTGCCAATTAATTCTATTTCTACTCATGAAGAGACTAAAAAAAATTCCTTCCTTCACCCACCAAAGACTTCCAAAGTGTGATGCATTTTATTCTTGCATCAAAATTTCAACATATTCAAAATCATTCTATTCCTCACATTTCCAATGCTCCACAACACATGATCCCCCACCATTTTCTACATTCTATTGTTTTTACCTTGTTAGTTCTGCTTCTTCTTGTTCTTGTTCTTCTCTTTTTTTTGAAAGGTGAACCTACATTTAATAAGAATAAGTATTTTAATTAATAAGGTCTTGTATTGTCAAAAAGGCTTTGATTAAATGATTGCTCACCTCTTGGGATGAAAATGTATGAGATTGTTGTTGATGTGGCATTGGTCGAATAGTGGGATGACTACTAAGTGAATCCACAACCTATCATTCAATAAGAGGCTTAAGTTGTATAGTAGATCTAGGAAATTTAAAGTAATAAATAGTAAAAATAATGCAATGGATATGAAGGTGCAACAGCTAGTGCAATGGGCATGCCTATAACTTGCAATTAAGATTCCAAAAACTCAATTTGTGACTGAAAGTCTGTGCGTACAACTTGAATTCGTTTCTCCACTACGTCATTCATCTTCGATTCTAACTGCATTTGATGCCGTTGAAGTTGCTCTTCAACTTGCTCTTGAACTTGAGTTTGGAAGATACGATTATGCTCTTGTGACTGCCTATATCTACCTCCAAAAAATCAGTGGGGGACGGTCCCAATCCAAACGTCCGAACACGGCCAAGTTGCTCCAGGCCCATAACTTGTGTAAAGACCTGCTCATTTAATGCAACAAGGTCACTAGAAGATCCCTTTACGTGCTCTGTTAGCTCATTCATTTGAGTCTGTAATTTTGAATTCAATAATTAACCTCCAATATAATTCATATTATAAAGTAGTATCACATACCATAACCTCATTAACTGAATCACTATTTGACTTCCCATCTTTTATGTATGCGGCCATCTACACCTGTGGCCGACTAGCAGGAATCCCATTGTTATTTTTTGCCTTCTGTAAATAAAAGACAGATAAAACAAAACGTTAGAGTGAAATCAAACAAAAATTCTAAGAATGACAACGTACATAGAATAGAACAAGGTACAAGTAGGTGGTAGGGATTTACTAATTTCATATTCCTTGTCATCTTCCATAGTTTCTCAATAGCAACCAAGCACAGGGTAAATATAATAATTAGTCAAAGTTTCTCCTAAATTCATGTATGGTTCATCTTCGAGATTCTAAGCTAGCTTAATAGGCCATTAATTTGGTGCAAATAACCAGATAAATAATTTGAATTCAAACCCATAACAACAAGGCTCAATCTTGTTTTATTTTAGTTTGAGGCTTTGAGCACACACAAAGCTAAAGTCAATCAATTAATACTATAACAAAAACTCAAAATCAAATAAACCCCATCATATCGGATACTGTATTTTGATGAACATTGAAAGAAAACTAACAAGATACACTGCAAAACTTGCTTTTTCAAACTAAATGAAATTTTTATGGATTTTCAATCTCAAGATGGCAAAGTGTATAAGCATTTTAGAAAAGAAAATAAAAGACTTTTAATTGATGTGAGAGAATAATTATACCTCCACTCGAACTACTGAGAAAGGCTTTCGGCCTGTTCTATGATGTAATGTCTTATTCTTTCGGATTTTTCAATTCTTCTTGCTTGATTTCTGTCAAACATGAAATTTATTTGAGATATTATAAAAAATTATCATATATAAAAATTTTTTCACATAAATAAAATTGTACCGATGCACTCTGAGTGCCCTAATAGTAGACCAAGGCCATCCACTGATCCTTATGTACTCTATCCGATCAATGAGCCAACCTTTCTGCATCATTCTTGAAGGGTTTGTATCCCACTTTTTTCACTCTACTTTTCCAATCTCTCAATTTCTTCCCAAATGAAGCCATTATTGTTCTCTTCATGGATTCATCTGCATTCGTATGAGCCTGCATTACAATTATACACACTTGTAAAGATGATGCTTTCGAGCCCTTATGGTTAGAGCTATGGAAGATATACTTGCCAATGCATCTCCTGCATCTGATAATATTGCAGGTATTGAAATTAGTTTTCTGTTTTTTTGGTTAGTAGTTATGGAAATTAGAAATCAAGATTTACTTTTATATTTAAATTAAGTAGGCTTCTACTAACTATTGAAGTACTTTATCTTCATCAGTTGGCGTGGATCAAGTTACGTTTTGGATTGAGTTCATTAGCTGAGAAATGATAATGTTCTTAAATAGAACAAAATGTTGTATAATTCTAGAAACTTAATGAAAACATGAGGAACATAAAACAGGATGTGCATATATAAAAAAATATGAGAAACATAAAGAGGTGATACACTTCATGCTAGTTAAAAATGAAAATTTAAAAAAAGCAAAGGCAAACCTTTTATTTATTAACAAACATAAAGCTATTAAAAATGGATTTCATTAGTCAATTTAAAATTTCACCTTACTAATATTATATGTGGAACTAACCTCATTACTTTTGTAATTGTAAAAATAAAGCAAAAATTTTCACCTTATCCGTATTTACCTTTATCTCCCTTCATATGTTATCTTTGTTTTGTTGTGGGACATAATGCCAAGTCGTAAAAATGAGTAGTGCAAGACTCCCATCTCGTACCAAAACACCCAAATGTGAAGGAAAGGATGTGTATCTGTAATGCCCTCAAAATAATAACATTAAAACCCATCAACTTAGACATGCATTGGTATAAAAGATAAATATTCTTCTATTCATCAAAGTAGTTCTTTACAAAAGTATTACATGTTAACAACAAAAGCAAATGCCCTACAGGCTTACAGCTTTCCAAGTTAACACTTGGATTAAAAAAAGAAGAGTGCTAACTCAATACATATTAAGCCCTAGGCTTGAATTTACATGTAATACATCTAAAGAAAGCAAATAACAAAACAATCTGTCTGCCTCTAGCCTCCCAAGCTATGTCCTTGGAGGTGGCATGATACTTGTACCTGAAAATGATGTCTCATAAAGGGTGGGCCATAGCCCAGTAGAAATATGCTAAACACAGTATGAGCAATAACTAAGACATTAGCAATTGATAAATGTTCAATTTCCATAAATCAATTCATAACCCATTTCCATTTCATGACCACTATGTTCATGTTTCATTTCAGTTTCCATTTCTTATCAATTTCACAATTTACATCAACGGCTCAGAACCTAGCCAACCACTTATATGAGACAGTGACTCATATTAAACGTTTCCCATTTTACAATAGATAAACATACTAGTTGTATCAACATTTCAACAGATAAGCATACAAGCTGTATCCACATTTCAACAGATATGCATATTAGCTATATCAACACTTCCAAAGATAAGCATATGAGCTATATTAACACATTATCTGACAAGCATATGAGCTGTATCAGAGAATTCCATCCCCTATCTCCTCCCAAACAACATCCGGTTTAGAGGTCCATCCCCTATCTTCCCGGTTAAGAGCATTTGCATCCCCTATCTCCTCCCACACACACACCGGTTTAGAGGTCCATCCCCTATCTTCCCCTAAACCGTGGAGTACATCCCCTATCTCCTCCCACACACACAACGTAATACACAAAGGTCTATAGCAATCAAATCAATACTAACGTTAATGTATTCTATCAACGTCATACTCTATGAGATATCCAATTGACTGGTTTTAGTTTGCCTAATCATCATACATTATCTACAACAATCAAACTACCTTCCACCGGTAGCCCAAGCATTATTTCTAAACAGATAATAAAAGCTCAAACAGATAAAATATCAATCTTTTCAAAAGTGAGCGATTTGATAAATCTAACTCCACTATTCTACCATATAATGAACCAATTTCATCATTTTCCAACTCAATTTCATAAAATCACAATTTTCCCAAAATTAGGGTTTTCCACCCGATTTCCCAATATTGACCCAATGGTCTAAATATCAACAGCCAACAACGATATCATTATTTTGAACCCACAATACACATTTAGACTCAAAATAACAAAATCCTCTTTTAACATTTGAAACCCTAAGTCCCAAAATTTACCCAACTTCAACACTTTATCAAAACAACCAAAAATCTATGTCAAAGACCATAAGATGGAGTAGGAATCCCTACCTCAAAAATCGCGAGCTCAAGGGAAGAAGATGAGAAACTCAACGTGCTCCAAAAACTCAATATTCTCGGATCAAAGTGTAGCCCTCGACGATCAACCCAAACTTTTACAAAGGCCAAAGGAAAAGGAAACACTCTAACTAGATCAAACCCTAGAGAGAATGGAGTTTCTAGAGAGAGGAACTCTCAAAATGTCTTTTTAGAAAGTAAGAGAGAGAGAGAGAGAGAATGTAAAAAGTGATTTTAAAATGCCCAGCTGCCAACTGATATACGACATTCCCGCTCGAGCGGAGAACACAACGCTCGAGCGTTAAGAACAAAAAACTAGGTACGCTCGAGCGTAAGAAGACCCGCTCGAGCGCCAAGGCACAAGAATAAAGTACATCCGCTCGAGCACGAAAACCAGTCGCTCGAGCGTAGATTTTTCCCTCCCAGAACTTACACCAAAAAGTACTACCCACTCGAGCGAGAAAAACATGCTTGTAGAAGTTCTGCAAAGCACCAAAATACTGGGAGCGTGTAATCCCCGCTCGAGCGCAATAAGACCGGCTCGAGCGGACCTCCTAAAAACTGGGCAACAAAGAATTGAAACCAAAGCCTAACTAACCTGTAACAACTTTGCCCAATACATCCTAAAACTCAACCAAGTGGAATTAAAGGACGACAACAAGATAGATACAACTACCAACTTCACGGAACCGAGTCCGGAATACAACAGAACAGTAAAGGGATAACCGGGATCGCTATAACCTCTCCCCCTTAAAGAATTTCATCCCCGAAATTAAACACAAGTTTTTCAAAAAAAACGGGTTTTCTCCATTCTCAACAATATTACAACATAATATTAAACAACCTGACCCATTACCGGTCAATCCCATCTCTTTTCAAGAGGCATATCACATTACACATAACAACCTGCATTATCAACATGCATTCCTTTGAAATTTACCAATTTCAACTCATTTTCCACAATTCCATAATACATGCAACATTAACATCATGCCTGCATTTCCACAATACATTGAACATATGCAATGTTATAACAAATTTCCATTAACCAAAACATTCACAATGTTTTACAACTTAAGACACGTATAATGTTCTTAAAGTTCAACGATATTACAAAATTACCAATACATGGTTACGCATCAACAAACAAGTCCGGACATTTCTCGCGGACTTCCAACTCACGTTCACAAGTGGCTCCCTCCACTCCATGATGTTTCCACAAAACCTTTACCAAAGGAATGGTCTTGCTACGCAGGACTTGATCTCGCCTATCCAAGACCCAAACTAGTCTCTCCTCATACGAGGCATCCTCATCAACCTCTAAGTCGGTCCAATCTAACACATGGGATGGATCTGGCTCATACTTCTGAAGCATACTCACATGAAACACGTCATGCACTCCGGATGACTGCGGTGGTAAAGCTAAACGATAAGCGGACTCCCCAATCCTCTCAAGGATCTTAAAGGGACCGATAAACCGAGGGGATAACTTTCCACTCTTCCCAAACCCCATCAAACCTCGCCTAGGTGATATTTTCAAGAAGACATGATCACCTACCTCAAACGCCAAAGGCCTCCTCCTACGGTTGGCATAACTTTTTTGGCGACTCAAGGCTGTAACAAGCCTCCTACGGATAAGCTCAACTTTCTCCGTCGTCTCCTTAACCAACTTCGGACCCAACAAAGGTGCATCACCCACCTCGGCCCAACACACTGGAGACCTACACAGTCGGCCATACAAGGCCTCAAACGGTGCCATACCGATGCTAGACTGAAAACTGTTGTTGTAGGCAAACTCCACCAATGGCAAGTGCCTCTCCCAGGTCCCACTAAAGTCAAGGACACAACCCCGAAGCATATCCTCAAGGATCTGAATAGTACGCTCGGACTGCCCGTCAGTCTGAGGATGATAAGCCGTACTAAAGGTCAACTTAGTTCCCAAGGCACTCTGCAAACTCTGCCACAACCTAGCAGTAAAACGAGGATCTCTATCTGAGACGATCGTCACTAGGACACCGTGCAATCTCGCTATGTCCCGAATATACAAGTCGGCGAGATGATCTACTGAATCTCTTACACGCATAGGGATGAAGTGCGCCAACTTAGTCAACCGGTCTACAACCACCCAAATGGCATCACTACCCCGCTTAGTCCTCGGAAGATCTACAACGAAGTCCATAGTGACATGCTCCCACTTCCACTCGGCAATAGGCAAGGGTTGCAACAAACCCGCTGGCCTCTGATGCTCGGCCTTCATTTGCTGGCAAGTAAGGCACTTCGATACGAAAACAGTCACATCTTTCTTCATACCCTGCCACCAAAACTGGTGACCCAAATCCTGATACATCTTAGTGCCTCCCGGATGCACCGCAAGGCACGAATGATGGAACTCTCGGAGTACTTCCTCTCGACATGACTCCGGCACAAACAAATGGTCTCGGTATCTCACACTCTGGTCGGGATACACCGTCAAACCCTTCTCAACTTTTCCACTGGAGATCTTCTCTCAGAGGGACTCTACCTCAAGGTCAACTCTCTGTGCCTCTAACACTCGTGTCACAAGTGTAGGCTGCGCAACAACAGAAGACATGGCCGCCGCCTTAACAGATTCGCCCAGAAGCAAATCGAACTCGCCAAGTACACCCAACATCTCCCATTCCCGGATGGCTATACAAGCAACATCACTAATGGATTTCCTACTAAGGGCATCAGCCACAACATTGGCCTTTCCCGGGTGATAGTGCAACTCAAAATCATAGTCAACGACGAAGCTAGCCTGGAGAAATCTTTCACAAACCGACGGTAATACCCAGCTA